TCACGTCCTAGCTAAAGCCGTTTGCTCACTGCCTGCCCTGCTGTTGCTGCCACCGGCCTCTGCTTTTGCTCTGGGGTTTCCTCTGAAATTCAGCTAGGCCCAGCTTGGTGAGGATCGCAGTGTTGCTCATCCAAAGGGTCCAACGGGATCCTGCTGGAGAGTTGCATCCAAAGCAAGGATCCATTTACTAGCCTCATGGTAAGCAGTTAGGGTGTTTCAAACAGTATTTTGTATAAATATACATATATAAATCATATATAAATAACAGGTAGGTGGGATGTTCAGCACGGTGCTGAGGAGCACCTAAGGGCCCATGGACTGGGCACTTCTGCTCCTGCAGAYAATCACCTCGGGAACGGTCTATATGCAGACCAACAAGCACAGCTGCGCTGTTTAAGCAGGCTAGTTAATACTGCTAATACTTCTTATCTTGAATGGCATGTATGCTCTTCTGACCTGTTTTGTTCTCTCCTCGTTATCCTGCTGTAGCTTGCCTGCCGCTTGCTGCTGGCCTCCGGCTTGTCCAGCGCCTCCCAGGACGGGCCCGAGGGAAGCAGGAGAGCTCACGTGAACTTACTGAAAAAGTCAACAGTGAGTGTCGTGGCYGACTGTGTTCAGCATTTGTTTTGAATCACCTTTTGTGAGCATCTTCTGCTCCTGTTGTTTTTAGGAGTAGGAACTGCAAAAAGTTCCTCCAGGAGCAGTAGGCAGCACTAGTGATAACCAGAAGGAAAAGAAAATAATAACAAATATGAATGCAAGAGTGGGAAGACAGAGTTTTAATATTTTCTTCTATCTAAATTAGATTTAGAGACTCTGGAAGAATAACTTACTCATGTCTGAGAAACTAATTTTGCATTTACCTTGTATTATATATTTTATGTTCCGTTCAAAAGAGATGAAAGGGTAATTTATATTCTTAAAAAAAAAAATCCCTGCAATCCTGCAATAAATACTTAAATTTAGTAAAAATATAGGGAAATGATTCATCCAGAAACAGGACATTTTCTAATAGTGAAAGCAGTGTGAAGTTTCTCTTCTCCTTTTTCTTTTTTTTTATTTTTTTCCCCTTTTTTCCCTTTTTTTCTCTATTCATTCTTTAGAAGGAGCTGGGAGACAAGTGTTCTGCAAGCATCGGCAGGTCCCGCCAGCTGCCGCCCCTGCCGAGGCAGAGGTGTGACGTTATCACTTGTGAGCCAACGGGGTCCTTGATCGACACCAAGGGCAACGAGATCACAGGGTTCGACTGCATTGATAAGAAACAGGCAAGATCCAAAGTTTGTAGTGTCTTAGATTTTTCATGAGTTTTTGATGCATAGAAAGGTCAAGCAAACAGCTACAGCTTGTATGTGCATGCATTTATATCTGGTGTCATAGAAGCATTGGGCATCTGCTATGGTATCCCTTTCTAAGACTCCTTTTCATTAAAACTTGCTCTGTGGCAGTGCAGTCCCTTTAAACAGCTAGGATTTGCATGGCTGAGGATAGCGGGAGTGAGGAACCCCGGGCTTGCAGGAGAAAGCCTTTAAAAGCGCTTCCAGGGGACGGAGCTTTCGCGTGTTTTYGAGCACGGTTTCGTTCCAGACGCACGAGCAGGGTGTCTGTTTGCAGGACGCAGGCTGCCGGCTGAGCGCCGAGGCAGGGTGGTTTGGGGAGCTGTGAACCCCYAGGTTAAGAGCGCCCGGCAGCGCTGCGCAGCGCGGCGCAAACCGTGCGCCAGCGTCACSGGCCCCGCGGCACCACCAGCAGCAACGTCCCGGCCGTGCCGTAAGGATCTGCCAGCCCTGGCAGGTGCTCCCAGAAGTTTAGGTGTCTATGTCTTGAGGGGAAACGATTCTGTGCCAGCCATACAATTCAGTAGTGTTGATAACCTTTTGTTTTCGGAACTGTTTAAAATTGAGGCACCAAAATCTCCCCAAACTAGAACTGGGCTGGTATTGGCCAACTCCACACAAGGTGCCAAGGAAACAAACGGGGTTTTGCTTGGGGAGGAATCGCGGTATTGCACATTTACAAGCAAATCTGACACTTGACTTGTTCAGCTTGAGAACTGTTTGGGCTGTTACTTGCTGGGAGTGAGATGGGAGTAGGATGCTGCTTGCAAAAGAGCAAAGAAGAGAGGAAGATGGAGCCCTAACTAKTGCTGTGGGTTTTGGGGACGATGGGAAGGGATATATCATTTTTTAAGGTGAAGTTTGCAAGGAAAGACGGAAAGAACTCCCTCTTTTGTAGGCTAAAACTTTTACAAGACAATGCTGACAGTTCTTTCCCATTATTTAAATATGTAAACCTGTAGTGAGTATATCCTCAGACTATTTTTGATAGGTTATTTGATTTCTCCTCCAAAATGTAATAGAACGTGAGGATTTTAGCATGGCTATAAGTAAACACTACTGTAAAAAATCTAGATGCTTTTATCTAGGGCAGCCCCGGGTGGAAGTTAGAGTTCCTCCTCTGCGCTTTCGGTACATCGTGTCAAGGRCCAGAAACGTCTTTATGGGGCTTTCTGACTTGAATCGTGATGCACAAAAGCAACTCGCTCTAGTTCAGCATTTCTGCAATAACTTGCTTTTGTTTGGAAACAGGGTCTCCGGGTGTCAACCAAACAGAAGGTGTCCCCGTGGGACTTGTCTGAAGGTCATAAAACCCCGCTCCTCTCTCCTGGGCCTGGTTTGGGACAGTTTGCATTGATAGGAAGGTGTGGAAGTATGAGGAGCAGCAGCCTCTTCTGCTGTACCAYGTGCCCAAGCCACAGAGCTGCCACCTCGAGCCCTTGCCCCTTCCTCCAGGGGAGGAGGAGGAAGGACCTTCCTCACCCGTGTCTCAGGAACCAGAAGGAAAGTCAGTGGAGYTCTCGGACCCAGGGGAGGCAAACCACGGACAAGGACAAAAAGGCAGAGGCAGGAAGAGAGAGTGCAAGCGGAGCTCAAGGGCCGACGTAAGTGAGGGTGCGCGTACAAAACGGCAGTGCGTAGGGCTGTAGGTGTTCCATGCAGCACTCCGGCTGCTGTGCTTCACAGCAGACCCCAGCTGCTTCCCGCGCCAGTTGTCCCCAGAGCACGTGTTGGTGCAGAGCCAGGCCCTGCTGCAGTGGCTCTGTGTTGCAGACACGTCGTGCTTGCCTGCACCCAGCCGGCCCGCGAGGGAATTGCACAAGAGGGCCTTGCAATTCCCGCAGCGGCAGCGTGAGCCCTCCTGGCTGTTGGGCCRAGCTGCAGCCCGGTCCGAGGGAGCAGGGCTTGGGCTGCCCCAATGCACCGCGGCCGTGGCGCGCACTGATCCCGCGGCAGCCCGGGCATCGCGGCAGGCTCGCGGGGAGTGCACCGGGGAGCCCCGCGCTGCATTTGGTGCATTGCAGGTTTCTGCCATGATGAGTGAGCTGGGCCTCTTTTCTCTGGAGAAGAGACGGCTCAGAGGGGATATGATTAATATGTATAAGTTCAGGAAGGGAGAATGCAGGGAGGAAGGGGACAGGCTGTTCTCACTGGTGGCCAGCGATAGGACGAGGGGTAATGGCCACAAGCTGAARCACAAGAAGTTCCGTCTCCAGGTGAGGAGCAACTTCTTTACTGTTMGGGTGACAGAGCAGTGGAACAGGCTGCCCAGGGAGGTTGTGGAGTCTCCTACTCAGGAGGTCTTCAAAACCCACCTGGATGCCACCCTGTGCCACATGCTSTAGGTGTGCCTGCTTGAGCAGGAAGGTTGGACTRGATGATCTGTAGAGGTCCCTTCCAACCTTAAATATTCTGTGATTCTGTGATGAGCCGTGCAGGGGCCTGGGTGTGTGCTTGGGACATTTTTTATAACAAGACAGGAGAAACCCTTTGCAAAACTGCATTTTAACAGCTGTCTGTTGAGTAAATACCTGTGATTCACTCTGCAGTGTTACAATAGGACCATAAATCAAAGCAATGCCACTTCTTCCACCTCCTGACAATTAAACACAGCATTAATGCAGTTCAGCAGTTACTTCAGCGCTGAGCAATGCAGCTTTCGGGAAGTAGAGCAGTAAAGTCTCTCCTTGGATCTTCATTCCATGAGTGGATTGGGTTTGTCCAGAGTGGAGAGCTTTGGAGTTGAAGGTAGGAAGGGAAAGCCGTGTGGAGCAGCGAGCTGTGCCTGATCCTCCCGAGTGTTGCAGGGCCAGCCCAGGGAGCCAGGCGCGACGTTCCCTGCGCGCGGGAGCCTCGTCCCAGCTCGCGCCGCGTGTGCCGCTGCCACCGGCGCAGCGTGGCCAGCGCGGCAGGGAGCCGAGCGGCCGGGRAGCGAGCGGGCGGGCGGCGGGGCCGGGACGAGGTGTGCAGCCCCGCTCGTCCCGGCCCTGCACTCCCCTCCTGACCCTGTGCTTTCCCCCAGACCCTGTGCTCTATTATAAAATACTTCACCACTTTCTTTCCCATGGAATATTTATTTTAAAAAATCGTACTAAATATTCAAATTTGTCAGTAAGTCAATCTTCATCACAATAAAATCTGCTCTTTAGTTCTTAAATACTCTCATGTTACATGTTCCGGGCTCACCATGGTTGTACAAGGTGGACAGCATTAAACTAACAGGAAGATCTGGAATTCTGGCAAGTTTCTGGAAAGTAATTTTATTTAATAATCACTCTTTGGTGGCAGATCAAAAGTGCCTCCAGTTAGTTGTTAGGTAAGTCCATGCGTTCACTGAAATGAATGCTAGAAAATACTGCTAAACCTTTTTTTCCATAAGCCCCTGTTTCTTGCTCTTCGGCAAGGTCGCTGCAGCCTGAGCACTGTACCTGTGTGCAGGTGCTCATGGCTGCCTTGGTTGCACTTGCTCTGGGAGCAGGTGCAGYGCAGCTGTGGACGTTGGTAACAGCCGTTCACGCCGCACACTGTATTTTAGGACAATAGGAAATGGCCTCAAGTTGTGCCAGGGGAGGTTCAGGTTGGGTATTAGGAAGAATTTCCAGAAGGAAAGAGGAGTCAARCATTGGGACAGGCTGCCCAGGAAAGTGGTACCACCGTCCCTGGAAGTGTTGAAGAAAGGTGCAGATGAGGCACTTAGGGACATGGTTTAGCAGGATGGTATGGAAGGGTTTGCAGTGCTCTTGAAGGTCTTTTCCAACCATTATGTTTCTGTGATTTCAGATGATGTGGATGTACGTGACTGTCGAATCACTGCCCAGATGGTTCTTAGCAATGCACCTGTACATGCCTGAGTCCGACGGCCGGGGATTCGGAATGACCAGGGTGCCTTGGGGATGGAGCAGTTGGCTCCCCGCCGGCCGGCCCAGGTCCGCTGTGGAGAGCACGGAGCGGTCGGGCAGCTCCCACGTGATGTGCGGGCTGGGCGCTCCCAGCGCGGCGCACGTGAGCTGCAGCGGGGCGCCGGGCGCGGTGCGCACGCTGCGCGGCGGCCCGCTCGTGATGCGCGGCACGTGGGCCGCCACGGCCACCGCAACGCTCACTGAGGCGTCGCCAGCGGCGTTGTGAGCGCGGCACACGTAGGTGCCGCCGTCGTGAGCCGTGGCCGCTCGGATGAGCAGCGTCCCGTTCTCCAGCAGCACGTACTTGCCGCTGATGTGCGGCCGGTCCAGCACGAGGCCGCTCGGCACCGTCCAGGCAGTGCGCGGCTTGGGGCTGCCCTCGGACAGGCAGTGGAGCCACAGCGGCTCCCCGGCGACGCCCTGCACCGGCCCCCTCGCGTGGACGAGGATKCTGGGCTGCCGGCCCACCTCCAGCACGATGAGCTTCTCGATGTAGCCGACTTGGTTCCTGGCAGCGCAGCGGTACTTCCCGGCGTCCTCCCTGCCCGTGTTGGAGATGGTAAGGGTGCCGTTGGTGCCTGTGGCAAACCGGGCGCTGCGGGTGCCCCCGGAAAGCCACGTGCCGTTAGGCAGCATCCAGCTTATTTCAGGAGGAGGATTTCCATCCACCGAACAGTTCAATATGTTAGTTTTTCCGGGTTTTGCTATTACTTTCTCATTGAAAGGGTTTTTAAACATGGGTCGCCGTAGCATTTCCAGCACCTGCAGCTGCACCACCAGCACGCTCTCGCCCCCGTCGTTGCGTGCCACACAGGTGAAATCCGCTGTGTCCGAAGGGCGCAGGTTCCGAATTTCAAGGGTCCCATTTTGGTGCACTGTAATCCTGCTCCCATAATATGGAGCTGTTAGGAAAATATTATCGGGCATGACCCACATAATCTGAGGGGTTGGCGTCCCTTCTGCCCGACAGTCRATCTGCTTCTTTGCGTGCCTCACAGCCGTCACCTTCATGATGGTTTTGTTTGCATATAAACCGTTTATGGTAGGGGGTTTGGAAACAACATCCACTTTATAGAGTTTGGTATCGTCCCCTGCAGGGTTCCGGGCCACACACATGTACTCCCCGGCGTCCAGCAGTTTGACTCTGCTCACTGACAGCGAGCCATTGGCGTGCAGCAGGTACCGATCTCTTGAATAGGAGATCATGTCACTGGAAGGTAGTAACCAGAATATTTTTGGTTTGGGTTCTCCGACAACTTCACAGTCCAGCAGTGCCGTGTCTCCAGCTTTCACTCGAGCGTATGTCTTGTAGCTGTGCTTTATGCGAGGGGCCGTGGTCACCACTGTGACGTGTATCTTCATCTCGTCTCTCCCCAGGGTGTTTTGGGCAAGGCAGGTGTAGTCCCCTTCCTCCGTCAGCCCAACCTTGTTCAAGTAGAGCGTTCCGTTGTCAAAGAGGACGTACCTGCGGGACCTGCGCCTGCCGTYGTCCGCCTGCATCGCGCTGTTGATGGTTGTGCCGTCCGGCAAGCTCCAGGATATCTCGGGGGCAGGCAGCCCTGAGGCCTTGCAGTCCACTTGGAAGTCTTTTCCGTACGGTACCCATTTTTTGAAATACTGTTTCTGGTCAATCTTGGCTGGCTTCATGGTGATGATGACTTTCAGCAATATCAGATCATCCCCAATTTGGTTTCTTGCAACACATAAATAGTCACCTGCATCCTTCTCTGTAACTGCCTCAATAAGCAGGGATCCATTGGGAAAAACGTGGATTCGACTTCCCATTCTGTTGTGCAGAGAGAAAGAGGAAGAGTATTATTAGGGAGGAAAATGCTGAAGTTGAATGATCTTCTCATTTTCAGTAGTACTTGGGATAGATCTATCAGCCATTAGAGCACTAATATTACAGAAATGAACAGGATCTTACAGGAATCAGACTCTGATCCTTCAGGGCCTCCGTGAAACTCGTGCTTTGGTGTTGGTGTAGTTCTGCTCACTGGCAGATTAATGTAGGAGAGCAGAAGCAGGCTGAGGGCAAAGGCCTTTATGTCTCTCTCTAGTTTTACATTTTGAAGACTTAGTGTACACAACTGTGATAGCTTGATGTGGATCTGGCAGTGACATTAGATCCTGCTTTACAAATATCTTGTAAAGGGCTTTTCCTTATATTTGTGGTGTCTAGCCTGCAGCTTGCATTGCTATACAGGTAGTCGTTTAGTCTTTGCCACAAAAGAGTAGCTGTATTTAATATTAAACCCTTCATTTCCATAAATCTGAGTGGTTCATTGCTAACTAAACTTAAATATTCTCATGTCAATTATGCCAACTATGAATACCTAGCACCATGTGTCTCTATTAAAACAAAAGCTTTAGCACTGCAGTCACAATCTACCGTTTTCATAGTTGAGATGATTTTGTTCAACTAATAAGGAGTAATTATTGTGCACCAGACTCCTGGTCAAAGTGTACTGAGTGCTGCTATATTTGCTTTCGTCAGTTGAACTAAATTATCTTTAATTTGTTTTAGAGATGTTAGTATGGGAAGTCAGCACTGTTCAGAAGTGCTCTACTAAATCCTCTATATTCATGCCAATATCTAATAAAGTGTATATTATGTTCTAGAATGAATTAATAATTTGTCCTAAGTCACAGCAGGACAAAATTAACAAAATTCAACCACCATATAAATAAAATAAGCTCCATTAGTTCAGAAAAGTTGTTAGTACCCTGTTGGTGAGACCTCAYCCGCTAGTGACACAGCTCGAGTGGCCTGTTGTTGGAAAAGCAGCCGTGCCCTCCCTGCAGGTGCTGCGCCGTGCTCCAAGTTTAGCAGCGAGGCTGGCTCACGAGTTAGGTTTGGCGGACGCAGTTGTCTCTCCTAGGAGCTTGGCGGGAGCCAGCACTTGACGTTTCAAGGGGGTGGGAGAAGGAGAGAAGGAAGATCCTACCTGTGCCCCTGGTCGACCAGTGCCCTGGAGGGCAGCCTCCAGATCACGCTGGGCTCCGGCTCGCCGGTCGCGGTGCAGTTCAGGAGCAGCGGCTCCCCGAAATCCAAGCGGGTCACCCTGTGTGAGGCGCGGGCTATCGTGGGGCGCGTCGCTCTGCGCGGCACCGCCAGCCGCACCACGCGGCGCTCGGAGCCTGTGGAGCTCGTGGCTATGCACTCGTAGGTCCCGCTGTCGGCCGGAGCCGCGCTCCTCACGTGCAGGGTCCCGTTGGAGAAGAGGAAGAGCCTCCCCTTTACCAGCTGCAGGGGCTTCACCACGGTGCCGTCAGAGAGCACCCAGTGCACGCTGGGCTGCGGGTTTCCTTTGGCAGTGCAGGGGAGCGCCAGGCTCTCCCCCGTGCTGCCTTCCACGTGCTCTCTCTGTTCTTCCAMAATAACCGGCGGCGCCGCCACCACCTGCAGCTTCACCACGAGCGTGTCCGTGCCCGCGGGGTTGCTGGCCACACACGTGTACAGGCCCCTGTCGTAAACAGTGACTTCCCGGATAATTAAAGTGCCATCCGGCTGCACAGACACCCTGCCGTTTCCCGTGGAAGAGGCCGAGACGTAGGTCCTGTTTGCCAGGATCCAGGAGAAGGTGGGCGCGGGGCTGCCCTCGGCTTTGCACGTCACGGCCACGGGCGCTCCGGAGTGCGCGGTGAGCAGGCGGGCGCGGGCGTCGAGCGCGCGCGGCGGGTACGCCACCACGGAGAGCGTGACGAGGAGGCGCGCGGCGCCGTGCCGGTTGGCCGCCACGCACAGGTACTGCCCGCCGTCCCGCACGTGCACCGCCGCGATGGACAGCGTGCCGTTGGGCAGCAGCGCGACACGGCGCTCGCGCCGCCCTTCCAGCGCCTCCGGCTCTGCCRAGCAAGGGGAGCAGCGTTAGAGCACCGGCCGCAATAGGAGCAGAGGAAACGGCCGCAAACGGAAGCGCCAACAGTTTCCCAGGAACTTGAGGAAAAATTTATTGATAGTGACAGAGCCCTGGAACAGGCTGCCCAAAGAGGTTGTGGAGTCTCCTCCGGAGATCTTCCAAAGCCGCTTGGATGCAGCCTGTGCCCCGTGCTCTAGGTGACCCTGCGTGTGCACAGGGGTTGGACTGGATGATCTCTAAAGGTCCCTTCCAACCTTARGCATTCTCTGATTCTATGGAATATCTCTGTCCTGCTGCTTCCTCTCGCAGGCCGTGAACGCGCTTTCTTTGGCACGGCCCCTTTGCTCAGCTAGCCAGGATGGCAGTGAGAGCAAAGAAAGAGATAGTGACGTTTTACATGCACAGTGAAAAAAGGCTTAAGCTGAAAAATCCAATTCCTCAGTATAGACAAAATCTGGATAGAAAAGAATAGGATAAAAAAGAATAAGCTTTGTGTATTCAAAATATTTTGGCATAGTTTATAACTTGATTTGAYGGTTTCTTGCAATATTTTTCCCTACTTGTCACTGTATTCTTAACTGGTAGGTGACATAAAACAAATATTGAAATCTTCCTGCAGTAAACACAGAGTTATTGCTAAATATAGATTAATTTCTTCTCATGTTTCCTTGAAGAGCTGTTTCCTGCTGGGTATTAGGGCACGCCAGGCAGTGCTAGGCGGTCCCCGTTTCTCCCTGCTCCCGGGTTTATTTTGCCACTGAAGCTTCCCAGCAAATGAAGCAATCCTAAATGAAGCACGACCTCGCTGGTGCACSCGCTGCCTGCCAGAGTGCCACATCCTGACAATAAATGTTATCAGGCTTACCTGGGGAGAGCTTGGTCCACTGTATGGTAGGAGCGGGGTGGCCCGTAGCTTCGCACGGAAGGAAGGCGTCCGAATTGGCCAGCACTGTAAAAGCAGCCACGTTCCCCCCGACGATCCTGGGCTTTGCGGATAGCCTGGGGTAGGGGGAGCCCAGCGCGGGCGGGTTGCTGGTGGCGGCCGCCCCGTGCGGCCTGCGCCCAGGGGAGCCCGAGAGCGCACCGTCCTGCTCCCTTCYGCGGGCGGGCGCTGCGGCAGCGCTGCCTGGAGCGGGGCCGCCTCCTGTGGCTGGTGCAGGAGAGAGGGGTGTCGCGGCTGGCACGGGCGGCTCCATGACTGGTGTGGATGGCACAGGGGGTGTCATGGCTGCTGCAGTGGGTGTCATGGCCAGTGTGGGTGGCACAGAAGGTGTCACAGCTGATGTGGACAGCACAGGGGGTGTCATGGCTGGTGTGGGCGGCACAGAAGGTGTCACAGCTGATGTGGACGGCACAGGGGGTGTCATGGCTGGCACAGAGGGTGTCATGGCTGGCACAGAGGGTGTCATGGCCGGCGCGGGTGTCACGGTGCTGCGCGGGGCCATGGTCCGTGTGACAGGAGTGTCTGTGCCCGGCGCCGCCGTCGGGCCGGCAGCTGTGGCGGCCGCTCGGGAGTGTGTGGTGGGAGGCAGCTGGGCTGAGGCCTGTGTACCCTGCAGCRCGGCTGTGGGGCGCCCGGCCTGCGCGGAGCGGGGCCCTGTGCTTGCGGGCATGGCGCTCGCTGGTGGCACCACTGTGGCTGCTGTGCGAGGGGAGGCTGGGCCCTGCTGGGGCCGTCTCCTCCGCTGGYCTCGCCTCCTTCCCGCTCCGAGTGCACCGCCGTGCAGGCGAGCAGYGGCCGTGGGCCCCGGGCTCGCTGCGCGCGCCGCCTCGGCAGTYGTGGCACTGGCGAGAGCAGGCAGCCCTGCGCCCAGCGGGTGTTTGCCCCAGGCGCCGCGGTCACCGTGAACAGTGTCCCTTGGGGACGGGAGCGCAGCAGCGCCCGTCTCCTCGCCTGGCACACGCRCCCAGTCCAAGCGGGAAGCATCGGGTGTCTGTAGGGCTGCTGTAGTTGTGGGAGGTRCACTTGATGCCTCCCGTGATGGAAGCACCTCTGTGTAATCTTGGGGAAGCTTCTTCAACACCGCCCTGTCTGTGTCATTCCCAAAGACACCTTCCCAAGTAATTTTTCCTATTTGGTAATTTTTGGATGACAATCTTGACTGAACACTGGGTGGAATGGGATCAAAAGTAGGTGATATCTCAGTACTCACAGTATGTGTGATTTCTGCAGCAACATGGGGTGTGTGGATCGTTGGAGGTGGTTCCAAAGTAATGGGTTGGATGCTGTTTGTTTGAGATGAACCCTCAGATTTCCACTGAGGATCAGCCCGYGTGCCTTCCGCAATGACCAGCACGGCTGTAGAAGCTGCTTCTAGTCTCGCAGTAAGTTCATTTTTTTCTTCCAGGAGGAGCGCTGTGTCTCCATGAGCACCCACTGGGTGCTCTAGTTGGCCGTTTGTGGTAGAGGGGGGGGACAGAGGTGTTTCTGCGCTGTGTGGGTTGAGGGAACTGTCTGAATTACTTACAGTGAGGCGATTTGAGAAGTGCTCTGTAGTTCGTTGGACACCTGGAACTGCAGCTGCTCTTCCTCTGGTAGAGCCTGGACTTCCCAGGTTGTATCTGTGCTCATTCAGACCTGGGATTCGGTCTGGTCTGACGATGCGTCTCCGAACAGAAATTTTCCTTCGTCTTCCATGTTGCGGCCGGGCCTGGGGCGTGTGAGTTGTAACGTCTCCAAACAGCTGGACTTGCCCATGTGTAGTGTTAGCTGAGCCCGGTAGCTTAGGAGTTAGGAGTTTCCGAGTGCTGTGAACGTTCATGAAACCGGACTCCTTGACTGGCTCACTGACTGTCACTGCAGACCCCTGAGGATCTGTTTTGGTCAAAGTCTTGTCAATAGACTCAGCAAAAACAAGGAGCTTTTCTGCTTTTTTGGTAGGAGTTACGTGCTTGCTGGTGGCAGCAGCACTTGCCATGGGTGTCACAGATAYGAATTTTAAATATTGGCTGTTATTTTCCTCAGAATATACCAATCTGTGCCCAGCATTGAAGACTGTTGACGTTCTACTTGCTCCATATGATACAGCTGATTGTTCCGTACCCTGTACTGGTGTTTTGCTTGAATCAGATCTATCCTGTGATTTGGGGCTTGTKACTGTAGGTTTTAGATACGTTTGTGGCCTTCTGGTGACAGGTGAGACAGAGTGTGAAAGTGGAGAAGCTGGTGGAGTTACTGCGTCTGCCACCCAGGCAGAGGTTTTCCGTGCAGCAGTGCTGCTTGTGGCAGTCGGAAGTTCTGCAGTTGCCTTGTTTTCCACTGCTTTTTCCAGAGGAGATGCAGAGGGTGTCTTAGTTGCCCCTACCATAGACTCTAGTTCTGGAGATGTGGGATCACCAGATGTTTCTTCTTCATCCTCAGATACTCTGGAGGATTTAAGAGCCTGAATAGGTAGATTTGTTGGAGCTATTGTTTGTTTTTCTGTCAGTGTCGAATTCCTCTTTGTTTTTTCCAACAAGGCAGCCCAGCGCTGTGGATCAACTCTCYGGGCTGAGGAAAGGAACTGTCTCCTGTGTCCTCTAAACCTCCTGCTTGCTTTGTCCCTGTGGCGCCGGTAGGTTGTTTTCCCATGGCTGTTCCTTCTGCTTGCGCTCTGTAAAGTCTGCTCTCCAGGTGCTGAAGTTGCAGACTCCCGAGGAGCTGTCAAGGTAGCTAGGGAAGCCAAGGAGTTCTCACGTCTGGTATCGGGGACAAGCATTACATTGCCAGAGCCCTCTTCCCCTTCTCCCACAGCTACGGGCTTTTTCTGTGGCATGGTTTTATCCGTTTTAACGTGCACTTGAAATACCAAAAGATCAACACCGTACTGGTTGGCCGCAACACATCTAAAGTAGCCACTGTCTTGCTTGGTGACGCTTTGAATTTTCAAGGTACCGTTTTCAAAAATATGTTTGTTTCTCACAGAATGATGAAGAATCACATGCTCAGGTAGCACCCAACTAATGGAAGCATCTGGAACAGCAGTGGCTGGACAGGGAAGATGGAGCACATCACCAACAAATGTAGAAACTTGAGCTCCATTGACTTGAGTGTGTTCCTCATAAGGATCAACCACAGTAATTCTAAACGTGAGGATATCTGCATCAGCATAATTTGTTCCTATGCAATGGTAAAGTCCGGTATCAAAACTGTCAGCTGTCCGTAACGTAAAAGTTCCAGTTTTAAGGACTATGATTCTTCCATCCTCACTGATGTAAGGGGCTCTAACTTTGCTCCCGTCAGCCAGTATCCACTCTACTGCAGGAGCTGGTTCTCCGATTGCTCGGCACTCCAGTTCCACCGTCCCCCCAACTAAAACAGTGTGTTGGGTTTCTGTTTTGTTGTCCCTCGAGATGATTGTCCAGCTCTTTCTCAATTGGTTCTTGTCGACATTGGGCAAAATAATCTCGGCATCAGTAAAGTACTGGATGTGCAATGTGTTAAGTGTGGTTGCTGTCCTGTCTAGCTGCAAAGCTACTCGGTTTTGCATTAACCAAGATGGTTCGGCTCTCAGTTCAGTTTCTATATTGGTAAAAAGTTCATTCTTTTCTGAGTAGATCTGCTTGTATTTGTAACTGGTAAAAGGTGTTTTAGTGGGTAAGATAGTCCTTTCTAATTCAAGGGGAGAGTTGCTGTACAGGGCCAATATGCTCCACAGCTGCTGAATATTTTCATAACTAACGTCACACACAAGAAGTGCTGAGAATGATACTTTGAGTACTGTATTATTGCCATTTTTGTCAAACGAGATGGGAGACATTTCTTTAGGTTTTTGGATGTTGCAAACCAAGTTACCTTGACTTCCTGCTTGGTCACTCATGTTCAAAACCATGGATCCTATAGGAGCTATGAAGTCCTCGGGAGATAAGGAACTGAAATCCCCATCGTCTGGCACTGCGATGTGTTTCAGCTTCAGGGAGGGGTGTATGGCTGGCTTAGTGCAGACCAAGGATGCAGCTGGAATATCCGCTAAGGTTTTCCCTGCACACCTTTGGGGGTTAGCGCAAGCTGGGCATTGCTGAGCACCAGAAGAGCTTCTGTCTTTTTTGCACTTTATAATATCTAGGAAGGAAAAATATAGTTAGTCTTTGTGATGCATTTTTTCATATGAAAGCATATTTTCATTTTTCATAGTTACCAACAAGTTATTTTCTGGCATAAAATATTTACGCAGTTCATCCTAAAGCGGTCACCAATTTTTAAAACGTTTCCTTAGGGAAACCTCAAGTATAGTGATTATTGCAGCACAGGACAGTGGTCTTGGACAGCTTTAGTGGGTTTGCAGGGTGCAAGGAAGGCTCTGCTGTAGGTGCTCGTGGCCGTGTCCTGAGAGGAACGGGCTACAGCAGGAGCCCAGGGAATGGCCTAGGCCATTCCGTGTAACCTCCACTCCGTGCAGTAGCATTTTGTTTGTTTTTCAAAGCATCAAGTATGACATGGCCATCACTCCTGCTGGTTATGTGAAAATCAGCTTCCTTTTGTGAATGAAGGAATTAAGAAAGGAAAAAACACGCTGTAGAATACTGTGTGTCCTACGCAACATAAAATAATGCAAACCTGCAAGTAAGCCAGCCCTGGAATCACGAGAGAGCTCTCCGAGCAGGAGGACTCGGTGCCAGGGAGCGCGGCCGGAGAGGCAGCGGGGTTTGTTATTCCCTGCCCCTTCCCAGCCGCCGTGCATGCCGGCTGACACGCTGCGAGCGGGACTGGAAAGAGCACGCAGAGAGTTTGGCTCACTTCATCCGCTTTTATCCCAAAGACAGCCCTGCCCTCCAGTCTTACTCATCCTTTCCAAAAATTAATCCGCCAGATGTCCTTTGGTTCTGTGATAAAATGTACTGATTTGAAGTTTTTATGAAAGCAATATCAGAAACATATATGAAGAAAGCAGCTTATTCCTCGTAAAGCCTTTTTCCTCAAACTGCAGCTCTATGACAAGTCATATTTACTAGAAAAAGGGTGTCTCCAGAAATGAAATTATCAGCTGTGGAGAAAATAACCATGATGTATCCTTCCATCATCTCACATATATATACATGCATTATTTTTTTCCACAGTTGACAAGAGAATGAAGTGAGCCAAAATAACTGCATTCTGTTTAGAAAAAAGAAATGCAGCTGGTCCCACGTGGTGCACACGGCTACTTGGGACTGCGCAGTTCTAACCCCTTTCAGCAGCGCTGTCTGTAAGTGGCCACTTGCAGAAAACAAACAGAATGCAGTCGCCTGGTGCACAGAAACCTTGGGCTGGCCAAAGGTCCATTAGGGAAGGCTGCCTTGGAAATGAATTAATACTACTAGATTCATTAGATCCAGGAAACCAAATGGTACTCATTTGTTTGTCTTGATTACATACACATACAATAATGCTGTTAACAAACAGTCCTGGAAAAGACAGATAAAAGAGTTTAAAGGAATAGGAATATWTTTTTCTTGAATGTGCATTGCACATTATGAGTAACAGAGGATAAAGAATAACAATTTAAGTAGCATAAAAATAAGAAACCACAGAACTGCAACAGAAAATGTCACAAATCATGCAAGTTTACAGTAACGGTCTTTTATCTGTAAGTCAATTAATAACTGACAGGCCATAACGAGGGCGATGTTTCATGTTTCTTCTTATGCCTCACATCTGGCATTTAAATTTTAACTTGCAGTGGTTTTTCAAGTGATAAGATATGTGTGATGAATCAAAGAACAGAAAAAGAACTGAAGAAGGACAAAGAATTTGGATTGCTGCATAGGTGGCGTGGATAGGTCTCGAATCAGCCCCAAGAGAGTTAGAAATAAATCAAGTGTAGTTGTATTTCTCTTCTGGGATCAAAAGCACAATTACCCTCATCATAAAGTGTAAGGTACTGTACCCTGATTAAGAGGTAGAAACGAAGTCATCAGCTCACCTGGTCTCCCTTGTGCCCATTCTGCAAACCAGTGTAGACTGCAGTCGCAGGACCAAGGGTTTCCGTGGAGGTAAATGCTCTCCAGCTCAGAAAGGTGGGAAAACAGTTCTTGTGGTAGTGAAGTCAACAGATTGTCAGACAAATATATATGCTTTATGGAAGATACTTTGAATATTTCAATATAGCGCCAGGTGATGAAAGTGTCGGGGTGAAGCTGCGTAAGTAAATTTCCTTCCAAATGGACCAGCCTCAGTGATGTGAGTCCGTAGAAAACATTGGGATGCACAAATTCAATTCTGTTGTGGTCCATATGCAACCGTGCCAAGCTCTTCAGACCATAAAAAACGTCCTGCTGAAGTACTCTGACCTTGTTGTAGCTCATTTTTAAGACCTGTTGATGGAAAAAGTTGCAAGTGTATAATATTAACCTGTGTTTAAGTGTGGAAGTGCTTTGACAGAGCGGTGATGGGAGTGACTGGGGAAAAAAAAATCCCAATAGGAGGAATTATTTTTAAATGCAGTGTTAGTTGCATGTGACTGCAGGGATACTTTCCTGTTCCAGCCTTCTGTCAACGTGATAGTTGTGCAGTCACATTTACAAAATGCAGTAGTTAAAGAAGGAAGCTCCCCACCCCCCAGAAAAGGAATGCTTGTTCTGTTTAGCCATTCAAACATCATAATTAAAGCACATTTGTGAAAAGGATAACCATAAAGTATGTTTGTTGTTGTTGTTGTTGTTTGATGTGTGTGTGTGTTGATTGGGTTCTTTTGCTTTGTTTTGTTCCGGGCAATATTACAGCTATAAAAAGGCACAAGAGAGCCTGTTTTGCTGTTTAACCAATAGTCCTGCTAAGTTGTTCCCAGTTCAGAGATGTCTATCCTGTGAGACGGTCGGCCTGCTGAACCTCAGCTCTCCAATGCTGTTTTGTTGCTGGCAGGTCAACTGCGGAACGGCAACAGGAACAGATCTTCTGTATCGCTGAAATACTAAATATGATCCCTTAGAGACACCCTTTTGGTTGTTACCTTTCTTGTTAGACTCATATTGCTGCAGTTGAGAATTCTGCAATTTGAAAGTTAGGAAGAAAAAGTACAAAAGGTCAATAATGTAAGTTCATTTTATGTGCCAGATAGAATTCCYCTGAAAACATGTTTAATTTTGTGCTACCACCTTTCTTGCTGTGAAGCCAGGGCAGGTTTACTATTTTTTTTTTTTTTTTTTTACAATATAGGTAAATATAGGTGACTTTTTAGATATAGGTTAATATTTCAAAGAAGATGCCAGGCATCAGCATTTTAAAGTATTTCAATACGTTTTAAAGACGGACATTTTAAAGTCCCCAAATGTGTAACAAATTATAAAACCCAAGAACTATAGTCCTTTGAAAGCGTTAATAATGCTTGCATGTAATCCRTTTATATTCAGGAGGCAGCATTTTTGATGAAGGATGGAAAAAGAAAGCACTCTGGAATATATTGTGTTGAAGTGAAAAGGAAATCTGAATGGAATACAATTTTCTTTAAAAAAAAAGAAAAAAAGAAAGAAAGAAAAAGTAACTAAAGGCAAGTTTCCTACCACAAATGTAGCACTTGGAGCTTTGCAAACTTTCTCTGCCATATGAAAGGGGATCTCATCTGCAGCTGCCAGTTAAATGCTGTTGAGAGATGCCTACCAACAAGTTCTTCACGCTCACTGAGCTGTGTCTGCCAGGACGAGGGAGCTGCTGCGTGGTGGTGCTTGCTAACCTGTGCAGGCCCTTGGCTTTCCCATGGATACAGCCAGAAACAGGACGCCAGCAGAGACCATGGAGCTACCCCGTGGACCAGGATTACTGTCAGAACTGACAAAAACTAACGGGAGCTCATGGTGAAGTCCTTACCTGTAAGGAATGCAAGTCGCGGAAGGCTTTGTCGGGGATGGAGTTGATCTCGTTGCTGTGCAGCATCAGTAACTCCAGTTTCTCCAGGCCAGAGAAGTCCGTCTCGGTGAGCTGAAGCAAGCTGTTGTACCTGCAACAGAGGGTTTGGCCCTGATTTGGGGTCAGTCAGTAAGCCAGTGTCCCSCAGAAGCTTGAAAGCAACACCCAAGCAAGATAAACCCTTTTTGCACTTGTGGTGTGCTAAGATGAAATTTTAAGTCATTTTTTTCATGTCAACACAAGATTTGGTAACTTGCCAAGAGCAGCTTCCTGAGCCCTGTATTCCAAGGGCAGGGGGGAGCTGTCTGCAAAGAATTWCGCGGAGAAAGGCGCCGCTTTGGGACGGCAGAGTCTCTGCAGGGGAGCAGGTCTGCCCTGCACCCGCTCCTCTCCGAGTAGCCGGCTGTGCCGGCGCTGCGGTGTCACCAGGGCCCGCCACGAGCCAGACCCTGTCCCGTGCCCGCTGAGAGCTGCCGGCGCGCGTGGTGCCGGCCTGCAGCGGGTGCATCGCAGACCCGAGTGCGGTGCCGCAAGCGACCCGGGCGCCACGGAGTGCAGGGCAGCAGCTCCTCCCTGCCCGCCCCGGCGCAGCGCCGCAGGGAAGGCAGCAGCAGGTAGGAACGAGGTCGCTGTTGCTCTCTGAGCTCTTATAACAGACTCTTGTTTGAGACTGAGTGTTCAGACAAGTGTTATTTCCCAGAAACTTGATAGAGGAAAACCATGGGTGACAGAGAAAAGTATGTGGCACTCTATGGATTTCATTTGCCTAAGAAGTCTCTGGCAGCTCTGAAGGTTTTAACACACCTCCCAAATTTCCAGCCTGCCCTTTGAGCTCTAAAGCATCTTTCTATTTTTTTTTTCCAGTAAGATTTATCTCTATTTCAGATTCCTTTTGAATGGTATTCCAGGCACAAGATGTTCAGGTAATACAAAAAAAGACAGATCAAACTTTCTGAAATTGGGACATCCCTTGTGACGCATCCCCCACAGTTGCAGTGCCAGAGGTCTTTAGTTTTGCTGGGGATCCCTGTGCCCAGCCCTGGACCCTTCAAAGCCTTAAACTTGAAGATATTTCACGGCAGCGCTGGGCCCTGCTGCCGGTGTGCGGTGTGCTGCTTCCGTGCCCCAGGGTGATGCGATGTGCGCCCGTGGGGATGCACGCGGGCAATGCTGGTTCTGTGCCCCAGGTTGATGCCATGCACGGGCCACGCAGGTTACATATCCCAGGTTGATGAGGCGTACACTCATCAGGATGYGCGCGGGCTGTACTGGTTACGTACCCGTGGTTGCAGCGCAGGTTTTGTACCCCAGGTTGACGCGGCGCACCCGCCAGGATGTGCGCGGGCTGTGCTGGTTACGAACCCCAGAGCGATGCGTCGCGTGCCCGCGGGGATGCACATGGGCCATGCTGGTTACGTACCCCAGGCTGGCGCAGCGCTTGTTACATACCCCACGTTGATGTGGCGCTGGTTATGCACCATATATTGATGCGGCGCTGGTTACATACCCCAGGTTGATGTGATGCTGGTTACGCACCCCAGGTTGACGCGGCGCTGGTTACGCACCCCAGGTTGACAGGATGCCGGTTACGTACCCCAGGTTGACGCGGTGCCGGTTAC